TAGAGTGTGTAGATCGGCGCAAATCGTGTCAGGATGGCCGAAATCCAATGGGGTTTCCCCGCGCAGGTTCGAACCCTGCTCCTGACGTAGCGGGCTTTTGTCCGACTCTCCACTCCAACGTCTGAGATACCCACACCACTTCAGTCTCCCACTCCGTATGACACACTCTCACTGAAAACAGAACACAAACAGTATGCATCCTCACCACTCAATGTTCCCCTCACGACCACCATCGACTCTCAGTTGACAGACAGCCACTCGTCCAAATACAACGACAGCCCTCATCAACTACCAATACTCACTGTCCGTCGCCATCGTCTCACTTGCTCAAGTGACACTGCTTCACTGGTAACCGATCGAGTGGGTGCACAGTAACTGTACTCTATCGATCGCTGAATACACTGCTCCACATGAAAACAGCATACCCTCAACTGAACACAGATACATGTCACCAGACACTAGCTCAGTGATCAGACCCGATGCAATCAGTAACTCGACCATGTCAACTAACTCGTTATAGGTGTGTTCACAGCGATTTCCCCATCACCACTGTAGACTCGAACAACAATATCGCCTTGTTCGTCTGCATCTCATCAAACATGTATGAGTGTCAACGACCAGACTGATATACACAAGCGAGTTTGTAAATATGAATTGTGCGTGATGGTGCGGACCAACAAAATCTTCGTGCGAATTCATGTGGTAGTGATTGCGATGTCTGTGAGATGCAGATTGTGGAGAGGAATGAGGAATTGTTGGAGGTCTGAAGCGAATAGCAACGTGAAGTCACCAGACATACTGAACAACAGTTGTTCCATTCATCCTCCGTCATGAGAATGTGTTCGGTTGAGTCGTCGAACAGAGTCAACAGGGACATACATTTCATCCACATTCAGACTGAACATGACAACACCAGATCAGACTGACCAAAGACCGATGATCGCGTCAATCATACAGTCACCTTCGTCTCCATCTCACTCCACATCCATATCTGCCTCTCATTTCTGTATTCCGTTTCTTCGCTTTCTCTCTCTCCCTCATTCAAGTTCGACAGATCGATCAGCATGTTGCTCGATTGCACGCTGTGCATCTGCATCACCTTGTTCCTGTACATTGCACACTCCACATACTGTCTGTCCCGATATGGAGACATGTGACGTCCGACTGACCAGAACTCTCACGTTTCGATCAATGACGTGTAGATTGGGACTTCTCCAGATTTTCACTCCATTCTCCAACTGAGCATTAGTCACTGGTGTGAATATCACGAACGAAAGGTGTGGTGTGAGTTGACAGGTCATCCATAATGTAGTGAGATGGCAACTAGCCACAACGACTGGGAAACAGTGATTGTGTGAGGAGATATTTTGATGTTGTTGTTGTTGTTGCTGGTGCTGGTGCTGCTGCTAACATCACTACTACCACTACTACTGCTGTTGATGATGACGCTTTGTTGTTGTTTCGATGATGGTGATGTTTGTGTTCTTGTTGTTGGTGGTGTTGGTGTTGTTGTTGTTTGTGTTGGTGGTGATGATGTTGTGATCGATGTCGCTGTCAATGTCGGTGATGTGATTGGATGGAATCGATCACGAGTGTATAAATGAGTGTGTGTGTGTGTGTGTGTTAGTGTCAGTGTTTTTGCATGTGCGCGAGCGACTGTGTGATGAGCGAGTGTTGTTGTAGTGATTATCGTGTGAGTTGATTGTGAGGAGTAGAGTGTGTAGATCGGCGCAAATCGTGTCAGGATGGCCGAAATCCAATGGGGTTTCCCCGCGCAGGTTCGAACCCTGCTCCTGACGTAGCGGGCTTTTGTCCGACTCTCCACTCCAACGTCTGAGATACCCACACCACTTCAGTCTCCCACTCCGTATGACACACTCTCACTGAAAACAGAACACAAACAGTATGCATCCTCACCACTCAATGTTCCCCTCACGACCACCATCGACTCTCAGTTGACAGACAGCCACTCGTCCAAATACAACGACAGCCCTCATCAACTACCAATACTCACTGTCCGTCGCCATCGTCTCACTTGCTCAAGTGACACTGCTTCACTGGTAACCGATCGAGTGGGTGCACAGTAACTGTACTCTATCGATCGCTGAATACATGATCATAATTAAAGATACGAAATGCCAGTATAAGGTCACCTCGCGTCCTGCGATAAGATAAGGGGAAAAGATTTAGACGTTTTAAACGCTCATCGTAAGGGTGTTTGGAAAGACCCTCTACTAATTTTGTCCCTACACGCTGGACACGCTCAAGCGATTTAGTATCCTTTATCAGACAGGGGCTAGCTGCTTGGATACAGTATTCTAAGTGTGGCCTTACATAGGTGGGATATAAAATTCGAAACATATCCTCGTCAAAGCATTTAAATGCTCTGCGAAGCCACTATAGCGCTCGATAGCCTTTGGAAGCAACCGCATTGCAGTGCGTAGTAGTTTTTAAGTCGTGACTTATAATTGCTCCTAAGTCTTTATGCGCATGAACGCGTGGCAGAGATGTACCATCAATGGTATAGTGGTAACTAATATCGTGCCCGATGTGCATGAACACGCTCTTCCTGGAATTAACTTCCACGCCCCAATCATGAGCCCACCTAACTAATTCGTCTAAATCTGCTTGTAGATAACAACGATCAGTCTCATTTCTTATTGTTCTCCAGATTTTAACATCATCCGCAAACAATAACGTCGACGACTTAAGTAATAAAGGTAGTTCATTAATATACAGAAGGAAAAGTAAAAGGCCCAAGATGGTGCCTTGGGGTACACCACTTTTGACCGGTTTCCATTCGGATAGCGTTCCATTGACCCTTACTCTCTGTCTGCGGTCACATAAGAAGCTTCCTATCCATCCCTGTATAGCACCTGTTATACCAAAGCTCGAGAGCTTTTGCATAAGACCTAAGTGTGAAACCTTATCAAACGCTTTGCTAAAATCTATAAATATCACGTCGACAGACTGGCCGTTGTCTAGGGCAGCTGTCCAATCCTCTCTCGCAATGAGTAAGTTAGTCAAGCATGAATGATTGTTACGAAACCCATGTTGCTCGGGAGTTAACAGGTTGTACGAATCTATGTGGCTCAGTAGCTTAGCCCGAATTAATTTTTCAAGTAACTTAACTACTATACTGGTCAGGCTAACAGGCCGGTAGTTAGATACTATCCGTCTCTGACCATCCTTAAATATAGGACTAACTATGGCGTCTTTCCAGTCTCTAGGTAGTCGAGCCTGTGAAAGGGACATGTTGAAGAGCATCGTGAGCGGTCTTGAGATAATGTCCGCAAGCGACGACGGCAAACGTGGGTGTAACCCATCGGGGCCCGGTATCTTACAAGGTTTTAGGTTAGTTATCAAAGGAAGAACTATACCCTCTGTCACATGTAAAGGTCCTATGGCTGGTATCTCATTGTCAACGGGACAAGTAGTTGTAACACTACACGTAGAGTAGACTTCACTGAAATAGTTAGCAAGTAACTCCGCTTTCGCTAGGTCAGATTCAGCCAATAAAGCTGAATTTTCGCCTAACAGTAATGAGGGGATTGACGTGTAGATTGGGACTTCTCCAGATTTTCACTCCATTCTCCAACTGAGCATTAGTCACTGGTGTGAATATCACGAACGAAAGGTGTGGTGTGAATTGACAGGTCATCCATAATGTAGTGAGATGGCAACTAGCCACAACGACTGGGAAACAGTGATTGTGTGAGGAGATATTTTGATGTTGTTGTTGTTGTTGTTGCTGGTGCTGCTGCTAACATCACTACTACCACTACTACTGCTGTTGATGATGACGCTTTGTTGTTGTTTCGATGATGGTGATGTTTGTGTTCTTGTTGTTGGTGGTGTTGGTGTTGTTTGTGTTGGTGGTGATGATGTTGTGATCGATGTCGCTGTCAATGTCGGTGATGTGATTGGATGGAATCGATCACGAGTGTATAAATGAGTGTGTGTGTGTTAGTGTCAGTGTGTTTGCATGTGGCTGAAGTTATATGCGGTGTGTGAATTTTTTTCCCTACCACTACATTTTACCCACATGATCACTATCGTCTCTAGGTCGAAATACATCCACTCGCCTATGTACGAAAGCGGTCTCTAACCTCCCTTTCAGATTGTGTTTATTTTTCGTTTATTTAGTGTTTTTTGTGGCTCCACTTTGTTGAGTTTATTAAAGCCAACTTTGTTCAGTTGTGTGTTTTCTTACTCATTCTAATTTTATCCGTTATATCTATTTCGATATTCTTTTGTTACATATATCTAACAAATGTTGTTGAACAATTTTCCTTTATTTTTATTTCATTTTTTTTAACCGTAATACTCAGTGTGAGCCAATTCACACCACTAATGTCTCAGTATTTTATTACATTGTACAATTATCAACAGTATAACATCATTTAGAAATTTACTATATTAAAGCAGTCGTTATTTTAAGTTAATCTGAAAAATATTTACTAATAAAACAGAAGGCGATATAGACGAAATTCGAATAAATCTAAACCAGAATATTCTGAATAATATTTGAAGTTTACCGGCCTAAAGTCCTTCAAACGGCGGAGGCAGTAGCCATCAGGATGAAGAAACCCGAGATATGCGTACAGAAGAAATATCTCCAACCCCTACTCCTCCCTTGGCCAGTTACAAGGCCAATTAATCAATAGTAATCTTAACTATTAGATGACCTAATTTGACTATGTACTTACGACCTTTGGTAATCAAATGTAATTGTCTCTCTTATCTTTATTCACAAATCTTTGTATTATATTATTATTGGTTAAACATCATTATTAATCTCCCCTATACATGATTCATTCACTTCGCACTGATCTCTCCTTATTACGTCTCACTAATTTTTCACACAATTTAGTCTTCCACTTGATCGGATTGTAATTGCATTATCATATCGCTCTCACCCTATCTGACCCATATTTATTCTGATCACAGATCTTAAATCTTCACTTAACATATTTACAGATTCAAGTTAACATTCTATATGAGTCATATCAACATAAACAATTTTATTCTATTTCGTTTGATAATCCTAAATTTACATGCTTTAAACGATGTACTTCGCCTTTAACCTGGCCAATTTTTCGGATTATTAATTTGGATATATAATTGAAGAACGTGAAGAGAATTTATCGAAAATATTCTTCATTCATATATCAGTCTTTTAATATGTTGAGGATCGTTAAACTATATTCTGAATAATTGAAGAAATTATATATTTGTCAAATTGTTACTTGAAACTTAATCGTGGTAAAATATATTTTCTTGCAAACATCAATAAGGGAGCAGCAGTCGGTGTTACATTAATGTCACCTGCACTACCGGCTACATCTACGTGAGTGTAAGGAATTTGCACTTTGGCATCAAGACCATGCTATGATAAAAAAAGAGGAAAAACATTTGATTCACATATACAAAATGAAAACATTCAGTAAAGTAAATATAGTATATAAGAATGAAATATCACATTATACGAATATTTTATGAGTCCTAATTATGGTTTTATGATTGAAGATAATAATAGGTGTTTAACCGAACTTAGTCTCTATTGGCAAAATGTGATCAGGTTCTGCGACATGTTATCTGAAAGTGAGGTGGATCAAATCGTCTTGATCGATGTTAATAGTCAATATTAAGTCGGCTACAACATAGGACCAGGCACATATATGTTCTTTCATCGAACTCGAGATAGAAGAAAGGATGTGTATCGCTGGATCAATAGGATTAAAGACTATCTTGACCTCGGCTCTAGGTTAATCATACTTGTCAAAGCGTTCATTGATCAAAGCCTAGGACGAAAGGTTGTAGACGAAGTAGCATACACGGGGTAGGGAAATATAACTGGGATTCTGATTTGCAAATCTTTTCTGCATAAAGATCAATATGTCGTCGTAGCACAACCAACTTCTGTAACGACTACAAAGGAATACTCTGTAATACCATGGAATACCGATACCTTGGTTCGATCTTTTTGAACCTATTCATATTTCAACCAGTTCAATACGTCAAACTGGAAAGTAAGTGAACATTCATAGCAGATGCACAAAAATTCGGGAGCTAGTCAACTAACCTACTTTTCTTATACTACTTGACCTCAATATCGTTCGTCCAAATCATCTATTATTGACGACAATATCTTGACAACACTTATAATTATCTTATACAGAAACAACTGCATCAGTTAGGAATAAACAGGAAAATACAAGTTTATTGTTCTAATTCTTAAATAAATTCCATTTTTTGAAGAAACCCAAATTATTACAGTCTATTGAATATGAAACTAGTGAAAACAGTCCTTATTCATGTGGTATGGTAAATTGAGACGACGTGCATGTATCAGGCACCACATTGCATATAACCGATTGGCTGAATCTTTCATAACAATTTCAAATTTGACTGGTAACTATCAACTTATGAAGATGAAAAGACAATAATCAATTACCGACCTCTTTTGGAAGGGTTACGACATAGAAAATATTTCTAATCATGACAATCAGTTGTAAATCTCAATGAAAGCAACGAACGAATAAAAACCAATTCTGATTTTTTAAAAAGTCTTATTATGGAATAAAAACATTTATATCATACTTTTCAACGCTTACCTTATCTAAACCACTAGCAACAACCAAAAAAGCAGCTGGCATTTGATGACCTCGTGGTGTGGCGCTGCTCGCTAAATTATTACACTGTAATAAGTCTTCATATTCACTTTTAGCCTTGTTCATTGCATAATCTTCTTTACGAATAGTAGAAATCTGATGTGTGTTTTTTTTAATAAAAAACGGAAGCAATATTATATATACATACAGAAACAAATTGTTAGAATTTATTGGAGTAATGATAATGATTATTGCTCCGTATTACATCATAAACTAATGAGAGTTAAAAAGTCGAACTATTAAATTTAAAATAGGTGACATAAGGATGTTATGAACGTCATGACATCTAAACATGTGGGATTTGATTATAAACAGTACTTAACTACAAAAAAAAACAGTTATTGGTAGCTTTCTAGTGCTCACTGATTCTACTCTGGCTGATACCAATTTGTAATGAAAGTGATCTTAAAAATGTACTTCTTACATGTTTAGGTAAAAGAATACTTTACTGACAAACCAATCAGATTTACGATGATGGTTATTGGGTTTTCGAACCCAATTTAAAACACAATTAAGGATAGCTTATATCCCTTTTAAAGGTTGAGTAGGAAATTAAAAAACCTTGAAAAAAACTAAATCACTAAAACGTTTAAAATTGATAAAAATGGGGGTACTAAAGAATGGGATTCATTTGATATTACTATCTATATCAAGCTGATTATGCCTATAAACTGGCATGAATTCTGTTATTATTTTCAGGAAAAAAATGACTTGTGAGGTCTTGAAGGAAACTTAAAGGTCATTGATATATGAAATCAAATAACTAGGTGCATAATTACTCATTCGTATGCTTGAAGGGAATTTCCCGCCAAGTAATAATTACTCTTAACATTTAACCCCACTACACACCCTGACCCATGAACCAAATCACAAATTCTAACCCCAACATATTTTAGGCTGTTAAGTTTCATATATATATATATATATATATATATATATTACCCACATTATGACGGGTTGAAAATTGGTTTTCACAAGGTCATTTTGAAAGTCCCCGAGGGTCATCAGTAAAGCACACTTTCACTGTAGTATGATTGAAGAAGCCAGGGATTTCAATAACGTTTATTAGCACAAAGTGCAAACTATTTGTATATGTATATATAATTCCACTGAATTAAATGACGCAAAAGAAGTGAGATTAGATTGCAATCTTAAGTGATAGAAAACATATTTAGCGAATTTCATTCCCGCTTTCATATCCTTATATATCGATAAGTGATGACGAATAACAAACCTTAGGAATAAGGAAGTTAGTGGAATCTCTCTTCAAATGGCTGACAGCTTGTTCTGCCAACAATAATTTTAACTGGTTGTTGTGAATAGTAGTCTTGTTATTGTTTGCTCACTTACATGGTCTTCCTCTTTGATCTGAACCCTGATCTTATAGTTGTTTACGAATTTAGTCCTTTTGCGATATGTATATTGACTGCTTCCAAATATTCGGATGTTAGATATATTCAAAATTTTAAAGATTCCCCATCCCAGTTTGCATCCATGCATGAATTGATATAAACGAAGATAAGTCGTGACGCTTGACTCTAAGTCGATGTTCACCCAACAGTAGATGATTCATTTTCCACAGTTGCAGCAGTTTGTAGATTCTGTTTATTCCTATATTTATCATTTCATCTTTCAGTTTGCGTTGATTTAAGTAGTTATAGTGGTCTATGTGCTGAGCCTATTTCAAATGAACCCAATAATATGGCTGTAATTTCTTACGCGCCCTTCACGTTTAGTACGACAATCTCTCTGTTGGTTTCCACATTTAGTTTTGTCTGCCAATGAGTTCGATAAAGGCTTTATGATGAGACCGAGTGGGTAGTCATCTTGAAGAAAAACATCCACAAAATATTTCATACCTTATTTCTTTCTATGGTCAATATGCTGAGATGTATCCTCACTGTTTTAAATATGGTTTGTACTCCTCATACAAAATACACAAATACAATAGGGACAATCCTATGAGCTACAAATCATTAATTTCATTACAAATCCCAAATTCCATCCACTTGCTTCATTTGATTTCACTGTTAGTAAGTAGGTTGAGTTGTATTGAACCATTTAAATGACTTGAATTCAGTGACTAGTAATCAATTTCTAGATTGCAAAGAACACATGGTCCTATTCATTTACACTGTTAGTCCAATATTTTTGTTTCTTCTTGTACTAGTCTATTCTGTATATGCTACTGACAAAAGATTTCACCTAGTAAATTTCCGGTAACTGTTAATATTCTCATATGACACAATGGGATGCTGTTTTCTGGGGGTAATTTCGTTTCCTTTAATTATGCTTTGGATAGTATGCTTCATCTCTAATACCTTACGATTAGACAGTGTTCAAACTCCTGGTGCATATTAATTCTCTATAAAAGTATCACGCTTTCAGATGTAACCAATCTTTTACCCCGATGATTTTCATGTGCATCTTGATTGCTTAATTGGAACACTCATAAGGATTCCACACATGCGCCTTACTTGCTGAATTACATTCCTCAAACGGGATCCATTTCACTAATCTACTTGCTCAATATCACATTCTCAATTAATATTACCAACCAAGAGTAGTATTAGTATACCTATTTTTCGGAAATAATTTGGACGTGTCGTCTGCGGTTGATCACATCATTTATCCCCTTACATAATTGAAGTTAAATGACTATGAAAGTCCTTTGTAAGTCTTTTTAACCCATTTACTACATAAAGATTTGTGTGGCGGATAGTGATAAAAGCCCAATGTTCAAACGTATGTAGGTGGAGCAGATTTTAAATATTCGGCTTAATGTAGGTATCATTACCAAGTTTTGATTTGATAATTTCGAATAAATTGAGCATTGGGTAGATTGTTATAAATAAATAATATATTCGTAATTTCCCAATGAGTAGAAAAATTAGATTTTCTGACGTTTCGTGACTTAGTGTAAGCCACTTCTTCAGAAAATGAATAACCAAGTCAAAATTTGATTGGTCACATAATATTCATGTTGTTATGTTATACTATTTGGATTTGGATTATTTTAATTTGGTTATTCATTCTCTGAAGAAGTGGCTTACACTAAGTCACGAAACGTCAGAAAATCTAATTTTTCTACTCATTGGGAAATTACAAATATATTATTTATTTACTTCAATTAAATGGTTACAAATCGTGCACCGTTGATACCAAACCACCGTATTCTTTATAGACATATTTTGCCGTTGAAATAAGTTACTTTACATTTTGAAGCCTATAACCTACATTTTTTCTACCCTTTAAGTCAACTTATGATATGACTCACTAGACAGAAAAGATGAAATAAAATGAATTCAATGCAAACCATAATAATTGTTATTCACATAATTCTCATCATCTATGAAGAATTAAATTATTTTGACGGAAAACTTACCTCCGCAATATCAGAGATTAGATCACCAGAATTTTGTAATTCATATGATACCTTTTTAACTCGTGCTGGACCATTATCCATCACAGCCTGCCAAATTGAAGGAAAACAATAAATTTAATTATCTAAATTGTATAAAACTGTGTAAATAATAGAAGAAAACTACACAATTGCTTTATAAAAATTGCCTTAGCTATTCGGCCATTCTCCTATGAAAAATTATTACACAATCCGTTTTCTACCTGCTTTTTAGGCCTGTGACGAAAAAAATGAGACTGACAAACATTTGAATAGTCAGTGATTCAGTGAACATATTCCGTGTTTCGGGTCGGGGATATATTGTCTTCTTTCAAACTATTCTCATCTTAATATTGTTGTATTCTGTAGATAACGTCCGGTTGAGGGCAATAGTGAACTAATTCATAGGTTAGGTTTCTTATTTGTTGCCAGAATAATTACAATTCATCTACCTGAATAAACAATGAGTAAAGCTGCAGATACATCTTCATGATAAATATTAACAAATAAACACCTAGGTAGCCAACTGAATAAAAATCCATTTTGTCAGTTAGAAACCAAATATTTTCCCCTTTTAAGAAAATGTGTGTTAAATATGTACCCTTTCAATTGAATATTGATTGTTTAACACAGAAATGTATTTACTATAACAGACAAAACCCAGAATAAATGTAGATACTAAGAATGACAGTTAATTAGTTCAAAAAGTTTTAAATTTACCGTGAAATGTTTATAGGCTCGAATAGCATGTCCAGTTAACGTGGCTATGGTAAATATAAATGGATTTTTAGTTGTAAGTGCCTGTAGAAAACAAAGTGAAATATAGTAAATAAAAAGAGAATTATTGCTCAGATGAAGCTATTTTTGGAGTAGTCTGCTTAGTAGGACTTAAATAAACTGAGATATAAATCACAAATACCTACATAAGTTCTAATTATCTACTATTTGACTGTCCATACTACGACATTTAAATAAAGTGTAAACAGTTTTCTAAGACTTGGAGCTTTTTTAAACCGAATGAAATTCGAGTACCTCGGTCATCACTTCAGAAAATCAGAGGTACTTCATAGGAATGAAGTAAACATTCACGTATTGGAACTAGAATTCGCCTTTACCTACTCATATATAAAAAAGTGATCCACTTATACTCTACACAATCACTAACATAGTAGATTAGTTTTACCAACATCTTTGATAATAGTTACAAACACAGGATAGTTTCTTATTTTTTAACGAAATTCTGTTAGAACGTATTTTGATCGCTCTTCAGTCGAACACCCGAGGATACTTTCTCATTTATAAACTTACGTCCTATGCTTTGAGCATTGGCATGCCTTAACTTCTACTGGTCCATAACCCATGTCTTTCTTCCATTCCCGTATTGAATCTGCAGTAAGGGAACGCGGAGACATGAAATCTTCTATCTGCATTCGATTAACCGGTCATCATAACTCAAACACTAATGTATTTATATATATGAATCATCAGACATCATCGTACCGTAAATACGAAACCACAGTTTACGAACAACTAAGATTGATAAATAACAGACCATAGCAACTTTCTTACAATTAATTCTGATCACGGTTAATTCTTTCGAGCCCTTCAATTAACTTATTTAACAGGCAGTGTTATTGGAGCAGTAACAGTTTGTCTATTTCTTTGTATTATTATGATCACTATCCTGTCGGTATAAACGTGTATGCTTGATCACATGTGACATCAGACGCACACATCTCTCTCTAGCTTAAACGTTAATAGCTTACATATCTCTCGATTAATCATTCTCTTTCCTATGTATATACATGTGTTTGAATCCTGTTAATAGCTTTTGCCTTGCCTTGCCTTCAATTTGACTATAAATCCGTCTCTGTATTTGCTGGCCCACAAACATAAGCCTCTCTACTCCAATTCGCCCAATGTGCTTGTAACTTTGTTATCCGTGCTGTCAAATAATAAACTGTAGTCGCCGCATCTTATTGCCTTCTGAACTCTTAAACCGTCGAGATTTATATGCTAACGATTATCAAGGTGATTGGTAAACGAAACATAAGGAATTATCTCAAATCCAAGCCACTACAATACCAAGAGGGGAATAATAAATTAGCAATAATTAAAAAATAGTAAAACGAATAACAATAGTTAATGAATCCAGCAGAAACTTATCATACAATAAATATAGAAATACAATCACCCAGTTATTTAACAACTATACAATAAAAATATAAATAATCAAGTTACAACGTCCCTATTATTCACTCAAACATGACAGTATGAGATGATTCCGCGTGTCTTGATTCATACAGGCAAGACACCAAAACCAAATTTCTATTACGCTTACGTATAAGCAACAGCATAGGTAGGAAATACGAAAAGGAAAACTACATCATGACATTTTTGAATATTTTAACCAACATAATAATGATAATAATTGTAAAGATAAGCAACTTTCACAAAATCAATGAAACATTTCAAATCATACAATGAAAGATTTTACAGGCTAAAACTTAACACTAACTAAAATAACTGATCAAACGGGAATATTCACAATACTACTAGTGAGTTTTTAAGTGTAACAGATATTTGAACACTGACTAAAAGAAAAAAAATATAACTACTAACCTTTTCTTTTGCTTCACATAATAAGTCAGCCATAACCATTCTACCTTCAGCATCTGTATTACCAATACGTACACGTTGTCCAGAACGTGCAATGATTATTTCATCAGCAACATATGATTCAGAACCAATGCTATTTCGCACAAATGCCAAACCTGCTGAAACACTTATACCGTCTGGTTGTAGTAATCCGATAGTTTTCATTAAACCAGCTATTGCTGCAGCACCACACTTATCTCGATGCATTCCAGCCATAATTCCACCGGCTTTAACATCAGCTCCACCAGTATCAAAAGTGATACCTTTACCGACAAGAAACAATGATGTATCGATCTCTTTGGAATTCGACGGTTTATAATCAACATGAATAACTCTCCCATCATGACGAGGTACAACTGAAAGAAAAAATGTTTATTTATTCCTTATTTTTTAGAAATATCCTCATTTAAATGACATACAAGATAGTTATACTCATGGAATTTATTTTTAAAAGAAACTGAATATGAATGTTATTTTAAACAACTAATTTACTAATAATATAAAAAGTCACCAAGTCTACATACTGAGCTTGCACAAACAGTTTTGATAGAATTTTTCTATTGTATGTTCCCGTTTGGATAATTGCGGTGAGATGTGGTCTTACTAAGGAGTGCAACTGTTAGTGTGATTACGAGATTTTACTCGGTACCCATTTCCAGTATTAAAATTCTTACTAGTGACGACAATCTCGAATTCCATTTCTTCTAATTCAACCATTAACATGACCTCTGCCCTTTTCTAACTGGCTGTTACTACTTTAAGTCAGCTGATTTTTTGAATGCTTGAAGATCATACTTTCGATAAGATATAATATACTGAGTTGTACAATTTCAAGTTGATTCTATTTGAACAGCAAGTTTTTCCTATATTTTATTTTCTTGTTGTGTTAGCGGGTAATTGTGTGAATATTGTGTCCCAGCTGTCGGCAACAGAACCACTCATTTTAGTATAGTTCAATCGTTCCTTAACTTGCAAGTACCATTAGCCAACTAAAAACCCTCAGTACAAACTGTTGACAATCATAAATAACAGAAGAGTAGATAAGTTACAAATAAAGCAGTGTAACGATTGACTTTAAGGTGAAAGAAAAAGAAAAAGCCTTTCAAAATAACTGTAAGCAACTTATTGTGTGGATATGCACGTGTATTTGGGGGGAAGAGAATTCTTCTCATATGTTTCTTACATCGAAATAACTATTTGTCATCCTTTAAATATAAGATTAATATTCTCGATAATTTTGTTTCCATATATTCATTTCACTTCTTGGCTTCATAGGATATTGGTGTTAATTCGATTATAATTTTAGCTTTCATAACATTACCTTGCTGTTATATAGTATTTCAATGACTGTCTCAATTTCATTTTACTCAATCACTTTTCTTTGGCGGCTGTCATATTTGCTTTGGGTTTGGTTTGTCGCTGCTTGAAATAGCTTATTGTTTTACTGTGGAATAAAGTCCTCAGATAGCTGGAGGTGTCTTTTCTTTTCTAACTAGTTTATATTCCTTGAACGTTAATCAAAGGATGTTTTCAGTTTGTATAAATTATGGACTGTGTGCATTTCAGCGACCAAATCGCTTGATCACTAGCTGGCAGAATTACATACCTTGCTGGGCAGTGGCACATTTCTTCTTTGCTAAGTAACCATTTTTGTGGTCGTTAACAATTTATTTACGCGATATATTCTGGATTCGACTGTATATATTTTACTGAATAACTCAATGGTTGAATAGCCTAGTGACGCCATTCATTTATTTAGAATAGTACTGTATCCTACCCAAGGATAGTGTTTCGACTCTACCTGTGACGAAGGATGAACAACTAATGTATTACTGGGAGCTATTTAGAATCCGAAACTAACAGTTTAGGTGTTATAGTACCCACTGATACTTCTGAAGCAATCGGGGCCAGAACAAGATATAAATTTGTAATATTCAAGCAAGTTTGAAATTCATCATCTGAATGTAAACACTGGATGTTATTCATAAAAATAATAATGAATAAATAATACCACAGGGTGCGAGGAAAAGTCGATAATCTGAATATTAGCATACATAATATAAGAATAATATTTATTAAAATTGGATAAAATTATTATTGTCACTAATAATGACAAAATAAAAGCTTGTACCGTTTGCCGCGATAAACTACTATGATACAATAATACGATTTGGACACAGAATTATACGATCACTAGACTGGACAGTCAATCAATACAACATATGTGGATAGAGATCATTTTATAATAGGCACAAGTAGCAACTAAAAGTATACGACTAGTTTATAACCCAAACAGTTATCTACTTAACACAGCATCAGCACTTCGTACAAATACAGTGAATCCTGAATAGAAACCAATCTTTTACATATAACATACATCTATATAATAGGTTACTTATGGAGAAGCGTAATTGTCTTCGTTTAGTGGCCAACCAGAGCTCACTAGCATACAATATATCCATTTTATTGAAAGCAAGTTATATCAAGTTTTAGAAATAACGTTGATTAGGAAAATCCAAATAAACAGACGAAACTCACCAGATGCTGCTCTATTTACCGCTGCCATTAATGGATATTTCTTAGCATCAACCTTATCGACAGTGACTGTAACACCTTTAAGACCATTTAAAGCATTTTGTAGGTATTCAGCAATTTTTGGGGCTGCCATTCGTTCAGGATCCGAACCACCAATATCTCGTGCTAATGTTCGTCCTTCTTCAATAGCATTAGCAATATTTAGTAAGGAGTCATCAGCTTCCATCACCCCAAATCGAATAGCTTTAGGAAATTTATTGGGAATCATTTCACGAACTTCAAGAGGCTAAATCAAATAATTCAAAGAATATGAGCCTATTATTACTATTTAGAAAATGACTGTCTAATTTCATGAGGGGGATAGATGAAAATCCAATTTTTAAATTTCAAATACTTATTTTTATACACACCAGTATAAGTAATATATGAGGGTAAATATTCATTATTTAATGGCACATTTAGTGAACAATAGGATAAGTATGCATTCAATGGACACATAAAATGAATGATAACTGACAATGAACTAAAACAGATTAGTCTATTTATCGTATTTTGCATTCCAACCACCTTATAATGTTATTTTTATAATCCGATTAGTTGAAAATACACACTTTTATACAATTTTCATAAAGATAAATGTGTGACTATTCATCTGGAAATCGGTAACAACTTTTACTTCAGTGGATTGTTAGAGGTTTCAATTTAATATTTATTCTCATTATTATGAACTAAAGTTGGAGAACCACTGGAGATCGCTGTCTGGTTTATTAATTCATCAGTCATAACCACTATAGAACCTCGAGTGTATAGGAATCTGTTTAAATTTTCACATGATATCATCACAGAGAGACGAAATTATCAAAATAAACCCCACAGTAGTAGAAGTGGTAACATTACCAGTGGTAGTAGAAAATATTAGACACCAACAATATAATTCGAGAAATGAAGACGTTCTTATTTTTTAGAAAATGTTCAGCAAATCTAGTAGGAACCCTTCACAGCATAAACGTGTGGGGTTGAAACTTAGCATATACACTTCTTTCAGACCTTTCTAAACACTAGACTTCTAACTCCCATATTTTCATATTGTTTTCCCTAGTTTCCTACTTTTTAAAAAATTGCAATGAACTAATCAGTTAGTTAATGGATGCACATTATACATTAAATTATTTTGTATACAAGATAAAAATTTGAAAAGCTTACTGTATACAATGCATGATATGCTCCCAATATAGCATTTAGTAATAAACAATTACGTTCACACCACTGAAAATCTTTCGGTGCTGATATGAATGATCCACAACATAATAGCGGTGATTTACAGCCTATTTTTAACAATCTATTAAATATGAGAGCAAAGAACATAGAACAGTGAGCAGATCTGAAAAATGAAACTTAACATTACTGAATTTGAGAAGGATATATTAAAATGAAGCTACTGTTAACATATATATTCAATACTTTACCTATAGTTAATCATAGGAAAGACATGTAGATCTACCATAAATAGTGAAAATATATCTAATTTATCATATTAAGTGTATGAATTGTAGTAAACATTATAACGCAAAAGGAACAAACAGAATCTGAACAGATCAGAAGGGAATTTACGAAAATAAACTTATAGCTACAATAATTAATTACATTATGTAATACTAAAGAATGAACTGTGTGGATAATCATTTCAAATAGTTTATAAAGAAGAGATATTGAAGAGGGTGACGGTCCATCTACTACATGACCGCTATCGATCAAATATGACAGAATAGATCTGTGCATTGTTTTGATGATATTTTTGACTAACCACGAAGGCTAGTGTTCATTAACTCGTTCGCTCAGTTGTTTGGTTGAGTACCCAATATAACTTTCTCTACATGAACAGCTAAATTCGTAGGCACACATGAATATAGCAAAACCAGGAAACTTAGAAATAGGCTGTTTAAAGTAATTTATTGTATACCTACTAGTTTTCTTTATGGGGTTCTTTATTATTAGATTATTTCCCATACTATATGTTCTGATGTTTTTCTCCTCACCCTCTTTTTTTTTCAAATATACGCTTAACTGTTCAATTATCCGGACACGTAATATCATAATTTGTAATGAATGTTATTTCAGTTTCTTTACTTTTCAAACCACCATGAAACACTGATTCGATGCTTTATTATTTTTATCACAACTACTACATCTGCTATCACACTATCAATTTGTACTTTTCACTTATGTTTATTTATGTAACCTATTCCACTGTTATCACTGACTCATAAACCACCTTGATTGATATAACAATTTCATATGTGCATTTAACTATTACTACATATTAAAGTAAAGCATGATGAAGATTTAATTGAAAACAATGTTGTTCGCTTATATATGTTGTTCTAATTCACAATATGGAGATTTTTAAATTTATCCAAGAGATTAACCATTTTAAGAACTCAAAGTGGAAGTACAGTACGGGAAACGAGTCAATCAAAATAGGGAATAAGATTTACGTTTTTGCAAAAAATTCGAAATACAGTACAATGAACGGAAGAAATGTCACTGTGCGGTGATCAGAACGCTTGAAATGAAAACGAAAAACTACCTCTGTCGTCATAGAGTAAAATGTCAGGTTAAACATATCAGATGCCCAATTATTGATACGAAAATTTTATGTTAAAGGAAAATCAATACTATTGTGGCTACTGATGTCGATAGATATAAGTAGTATGTACCATCATTCGAAAGTGGTTCGAACCTACGACCTACTGGTTATAGCCTTAAAAGTGTAATCATCATTTTTACTTGAATTAGACAAAAGATCAATGTGTGTACCCATAAGAATATAAAGTCAATGTAAACTTTACTTTAACATGCCATTCACAGCAGCATCATACACATTACGAATGTCCGCTTCATCTGTATTTAACCGACCAGTTGGACTAAATATCTAAAATATTTTAAAAAATTCCTTATGACATATTTTTTTTTTAAATGACTTACAAATTTAAAAATCCTATCATGTCGAAATTGAAAATGGAGGCTTAAAATGATATTGAGACTGTGCTTTTTATTAGGCAATAAGCGAGCACATATTTAATAATATATGGATACTATCTGAAGTGTGTACATAACGCACAACTGATAGTCTATTTAGCGTTAAGAAACTAAGTTGCGATCCAGTTCACATTGATAATAATATTTAGATTAAGTGAATTGTAAAGTTTTGTGATACTATTCATTACGTAAGTTGTAAATATTTGATAACTATTCATGCACTAATTTTCTCACACATCCACAATACCACCATAAGTTTTATTGGTCAGATTTCGAGAGTTACGTAGATCAAATAGACTCAACTGAATAAACGTTTACTATGAGGAATAAAGCGATTAACCAGTCAAATAAAATTTCGGCTCATTAATTTCGGCACTCAACTGAGAACTGGAGAATCAGTATCTCAAATGTTTCCATACATAAATAGATCACAGTCAGTCAGTCAGCTGTAACGTAGGACCAGGCACATTTATGCATCAGTCCAAGTTGCCACATCTCATTGGCACAACAAGACAAACACCAAATCCAGAGAAATAGTTACGTCAATGGCAGTATTATGTAAAAGAAAGATTGTGTATAAAAATATAATACAGAAAGAAAGAAACAGTTCGTAGAAACAAAAGTAAAAAGTGATTTTAATCTCACGGTTTAGGAGAAGACAAATAGTGTATACACCTATACCATTGTGATCGATTTTGAGCCATATCACACAGTCTCCAACCATTGGTTACGATAGTCACGCGGACACCAACCAAGTAGTCTGCATCTGCCAAACATGGCTCAGACTAGAAGTTAGTGATTTCAAGCACTGATGCCATGTTTTGGTTTGGCCGCCCCTAACTCTCTTCCAACCATCCCCAATACTAGTCAGCATAGCGCGTCGTGGTAATCGGTGTTTAGACATACGTAACACGTGGCTCAGTCATCTCAGTTGATGAATATTCATGACCTCATTAACTGATTTACCATCATTCCCTAATACCCTGCGTCAAACCTCACTATTACTTACGCGGTGATCCCAGTAGATATGAACAATATTTCTAAGACATCTGAGGTCAAATACTAGTAGCTTATGGAAAGTAATCAATAAACGGCCAGCTAACCAACTTCTATAGCTGAGTTCCACAAGGCAGAAAGAAGAATTTTATTCACTTAATCTTACCGAATAAGTAAGATCTATAGTACCGAATGCATTGATGAAGATATTGTGTTTCTCAGGAAAACATTAGCTGAAAATGGCTATCAAAGCCGCTTCATAAAGAACAAATATAAATGTACCTGGTTTACATATTTTAGGATTTTAAATGAAAAAAGAAGATCCAAACAGAAATCAATGAAAAATAACTTACTAATCTTTTTGATGGATGTTCTGGGAATGGAATCACACTGACTTCATCTGAAAATTTAGGATTAACCTTGGAAGTAAACGTTAGAAAAATTATTGTGGTAGGATATTCATTAATTCACTGGATTAAACTTTATGTATATTTACAGCTCACTCTGCTAAAATCAATCTAAATCATTTAAAACTTGATACCACAGTATACCTTTCAAGTTTTACTGAATACATAAGAATTTAATACATTCTGAATACTCTCTTAAACTTTAATCGACAATTAGCTACCTAGGTAGCAGCTGCAAACTAGTAAAGATATGAATTGAAATAAGTCTATGTGAATTAATCATATTCACAATTAATCAGCTCACAATGTGCAACCTGTAAATCTTCGTTCATTAAGTTACAAGTCTGATAGGTTATGAAGACTGATAACCACTTAAAAAGATATAAATTTAATTAATATATAATGTGAATAAATGTATAAGTATAAGATCAAATTGCTTGCATCAATCAACTAAGTAAGACGGATTTATTGAACATCAAAACCTAAGGTAGTTTTGAAACGTACTACAGGATTCTTGGAATCTAGGCAACTATTTGGAAATAGTAAATTTCGTATACATCACTATCATTAATAAGTAATTACATCGACGAATGAATAACGTAATATAATATCCCCAGGATTTTTAAAAAAAGGGCTGATGGTCTTTATACAACTAAAACCTATATTTACCCGTACCACTCGGTAGAAATCCAGCAATTGTATGGACACGAAATATAAATATTGAATAATTATTTTGATACTTTAGTATTTATTCTGTAGACAAATATAAAATATTAAGTGGTTCTTAGACAAGAATACTAGCCAGATTTACAATACAACACTTGACCCTCATACATACCATTGAAAAAATTGGGCAACATCAATGGGAAGATCCAAACAAACAATACTAAGTAAATTCAAACTTCACCCCATCGCACAAGCAAGTGGCTATCAGGACTCAGTGGCCGAGTGGATAACGCGATGGCGTTTGAAGCGAGGGTACTGGGTTCGAGTCCCAGAGTGAACATCAACTCTGAGATGCAGTTACATCCAGCTGACGAGTCCCAGATAAAACGAAACGCGCGTTCTGGATTCCACTGCTAGTCACTATCCATCTCTGCTTACCATGCTTGTGAATTTAGGCAATATCGAGGCAATACACACAGTAATCACATATGCCAATTAGAGACTGACCAGTTGCAGTCCTAAAAAACATCAATGGGAAGATCCAAACAAACAATACTAAGTAAATTTCAACACTTTAAAATATTAGGAATAAATTATAGCAAAGTGGAAACTCTTAAGAAATCATATGTTCTATTTTTGTACTTCACTAAAAAATCCAGTAATTTGTAGATACTAAATCCCGTAACTGTTGAGATAAGATCATGTTTATTTTGATCGGCTGCGCAAACAAATACTACTCACCTCAGAGAACTCCTTCAAAGGCTTATAAGCCAGTTGTAAAGCTCTTGGTAAATGTTCTATATCATCATTCACTAGCAAAACTGCATCATATGATGGATCTGTCAAACAAGAGACTGGGAACGCAGGAATGACAACGCTGGTAGACATTATTCTGGATGATGAATTTTTACAACTATATGAATTTATATAACAAGCTAATGTATTCGACCAGTCACATGCATATAAAATCGACCAATCACATGATGATTAAAGCAGTCGACCAATCATAACACAACTTTAAATACATGGACTGGTCTGTTAGAATCTAGGGCAAATAACAGGAAATTCCATTGAGTCATTGAGGGTAGAATTTGTGATTTGGTCGATAGTTTGTAGTAAATTTATCCAATGTGTTAACTTTCTAATTCGACCACAAAATTAAGGAGAGAATTTATGGAATTCTTTTACACAAACCAAAGCTGCTTTCAAATAGGTTAAACAGTTAAAAACTTCTGATTACCTACGATACATCTGATAGTTACAGTAAATTACTTGTCAAATTGTACTACTGAAAACACATGACTTGTTTAACAATGTAAGAAGCATAAAAACGCTTTGTATTGAAACATAATATGAACTAGTAAGTTTAGTCCTTCAGTAATCCTTTCAAGTAATCCCTAAGCTTAAGGCAAATAAAAAGTTTGAATTTAAGATCCTTAGTAAATTAAATTTGTTGATGTTAAAACGACTAGTATGTAATGTTAACTTGAATAAATTTATACGTCTTTTGAAACTGTGAGATTAATGATTACTTACTAACTAACTAACTAACTAACTAACTAACTAACTAACTAACTAACTAACTAACTAACTAACTAACTAACTAACTAACTAACTAACTAACTAACTAACTAACTAACTAACTAACTAACTAACTAACTAACTAACTAACTAACTAACTAACTAACTAACTAACTAACTAACTAACTAACTAACTAACTAACTAACTAACTAACTAACTAACTAACTAACTAACTAACTAACTAACTAACTAACTAACTAACTAACTAACTAACTAACTAACTAACTAACTAACTAACTAACTAACTAACTAACTAACTAACTAACTAACTAACTAACTAACTAACTAACTAACTAACTAACTAACTAACTAACTAACTAACTAACTAACTAACTAACTAACTAACTAACTAACTAACTAACTAACTAACTAACTAACTAACTAACTAACTAACTAACTAACTAACTAACTAACTAACTAACTAACTAACTAACTAACTAACTAACTAACTAACTAACTAACTAACTAACTAACTAACTAACTAACTAACTAACTAACTAACTAACTAACTAACTTACTTACTTACTTACTTACTTACTTACTTACTTACTTACTTACTTACATACTTACTTACTTACTTACTTACTTACTTACTTACTTACTTACTTACTTACTTACTTACTTACTTACTTACTTACTTACTTACTTACTTACTTACTTACTTACTTACTTACTTACTTACTTACTTACTTACTTACTTACTTACTTACTTACTTACTTACTTACTTACTTACTTACTTACTTAATTACTTAATTACTTACGCCTGTTACCCCCATTAAAGCATAGGTCTCCGTCCAGCATTCTCCAGCCCATCCTGTCCTGGACCTTCTTTTCTAGTTCTATCCAATTTTTGTTCATTCTTCTCATATCTCTCTCCATTTCTCGGTGTAATGTGTTCTTTGGTCTTCCTCTTCTCCTTTGGCCTTCAGGATTCCATGTGAGGGCTTGTCTTGTGACACAGTTTAGTGCTTTCCTCAATTTGTGTCCTATCCACTTCCAGAATTTCTTCCCCATTTCTTCCTCCGCTGAATTCTGGTTTATTCTCTTCCACAGTAGAATGTTGCTGATAGTGTCTGGCCAACGGATCCGAAGTATCTTGCGTAGACAACTGTTAATAAGCACTTGTATCTTCTGGATGATGGCTTTTATAGTTCTCCGGATTTCTGCCCCATACAGTAGAACTGTCTTGACATTTGTATTGAAAATTCTAACCTTGGTGTTGGTTGACAATTGTTTTGAGTTCCAGATGTTTTTCAGTTGTAAGTATGCTGCTCTTGCTTTGCCGATCCTCGCCCTCACATCTGCATCTGATCCACCGTGTTCATCAATGATGCTGCCCATATATGTAAAGGTTTTCACATTCTCCTAAGCTACTCCGTCAAGTGTGATTCCATAGATACATGTTGTCTGGTATCGCAGGATTTTGCTTTTCCCTTTGTTTATATTGAGACCTACTGCTGCTGAGGCTGCTGCTACACTGGTCGTTTTCTCCTGCATTTGTTGTTGCGTTTGTGATAGAAGAGCCAGATCATTTGCAAAGTCCAGATCGTGCAGCTGCATCCTAGCTGTCCACTGTATCCCGTATCCACGGAATCCTTCATCCTGTTTAACAACACTCTGTTTAAGACTTTTCCTGGTATTGAGAGAAGAGTGATGCCCCTGTAGTTATCGCACTTGCTGAGATCGCCTTTCTTTGGTATCTTGATCAGAAGTCCTTTTTTCCAGTCTATTGGTACTTGTTCTTCATCCCAAATCTTACTGAAGAGGATGTGGAGTATCTTGGCAGTTGCTGTTACATTTGCTTTCGATGTCTCTGCCGGGATGTTGTCTGGTCCCGCTGCTTTGCCGCTCATGATTTGTCTAATGGCCATGCCGATCTCTTCAATTGTTGGTGGGCCAACATCGATTGGGTGGTCTGTGAGTGCTGCTTCGATGTTGGGTGGGTTTAGTGGAGCTGATCGATTCAAGAGTTCTTTGAAGTGTTTTACCCACCTGTTTCATTGTTCTTCAATATCGGTGATTACTTTGCCTTCCTTGCTTTTCACTGGTCTTTCTGGCTTACGGTAATTTCCAGCAAGTTTCTTTGTTGTGTCATACAGTTGTCTCATGTTTCCCTCTCTTGCAGCCTTTTCCGCTGTCTTCGCTAAATCTTCAACATATTTACGTTTGTCAGTTCTGATGCTCCTCTTCACTTGCTTGTTTGCCTCTGTGTATTCGGCTTGTGCCTTGGCTTTTTCCGCTCTGGTTCGGCTGATATTGATTGCTGCCTTCTTGTTCCTCCTTTCTTCAATTTTATCCAGTGTACCAACAGTGATCCATTCCTTGTGATGGTGCTTCTTGTGACCCAGAACCTCTTGACATGTTGAAACGATTGTCTCCTTGATACCTTTCCAGTTGCTCTCCATGGTAGTCCCCTCTCCATTGAGTAGATCATGAAAGGCCTGGAACCTGTTGCTGAGGGCTATGTTGAATTCGTTGAGTTTGTCAGCATCTCGAAGAAAGGCCGTGTTGAACTTTTGTGATGTTGTTCGCGCCGTTGTCCACTGCTTCTTAAGTTTTAGTTTCATCTTGGCGACCAGCAAATGATGATCGGATGCTATATCAGCTCCTCTTCTGGTTCTCACATCCTCCATCGTCCCCCTGAACTTTTTGTTGATGCAGATATGGTCGATTTGATTCTGTGTGGTGTGATCTGGTGAAATCCAAGTGGCTTTGTGTATGTTTTTGTGTGGGAATATGGTGCCACCTATGACCAGTTTATTGAAGGCACATAGGTTTGCAAATCTCTCACCTTTTTCGTTCCTTTCTCCCAGTCCATGTCGTCCCATGAAGTCTTCGTATCCAGTGTTGTCCATTCCAACCTTGGCATTGAAATATCTCATCAGAATGGTCAGGTCCTTGGTTGGGCACTTCTCGAAGATTGACTGCAGACTATCGTAGAATTGGTCTTTAGCGTCTTCATCGTAGTCGTTGGTAGGCGCATAGCATTGAATGACGTTCATTGTAATGCCCTCTCGCTTTGTTTTGAAGGAGGCTTTGATGATCCTTGGTCCATGAGATTCCCATCCAATAAGTGCATTTTGTGCTTTTCTGGACAGCATCAATGCAACTCCTTGTGTATGTGGGGCATTTTCTTCTTCATGACCGGAGTATAACAGAAGTTCTCCTGAAGACAGTCGTTGTTGTCCAACCTGCGTCCAATGTGTTCCGCTGATTCTAAGCACCTCCAGGTTGTATTTCCTCATTTCCGCAGCAATTCGGAAGACTCTGCCGGTCTCCCACATTGTCCGGACATTGCATGTACCTATAAAAATTGTCGCTTTGGTTGTAAGAAGGTGCATCGGCCTCATGACTTCCGAAGGAACTCGGCTTTCATCATGAGACGTCATAATTATTCCTTCAACTCGGAGGGCAGAGTTTGAAAGGTTTGAATGATTTTTTCTGGTTAGCGTTTTTTTAGCTAGTTGATTTTCTACGGGATGGGGTCGCTAACCCCATGCCCAACCCTCCTCCTTTACCCAGGCTTGGGACCGACAGTAACCCCCAGAGGAGCTACAGGTGCAGTTGAGATTAATGATTAGAATTAACATAAATAATACTGGGCGACAGTGTTGTAACTTCTGCCCGGCTACTTATCACGTGATTTAGTCGCCAATCTGGATACGACTTATACAATCATAGCCAAACCAATAATGTTCGACCGGTATAAGCAGCCTAGCATCCTTATTAGTCCTTTGTTCTCCTAGCCTTTCCTGTTGAGTTCAGAACTCCAATATTAGCTCCCACTATATGAATCATATATTTCAAACCTACTTGGTCTATATACAAGCAAAATTAGACTACATTACAACATAAAATAGAAAATAACATTTGTACAAGATCAAGCCAAAAATGTGGTTGTGATTAAGAGAAACTTTGATTAATCTATTGAGAATAACTTGAGAGTAGCAAATCTTTATAACAGTAACCAATTGATCAAATAAAAGCTTATAATAATAAGAATATAATTAAGTATAGTTTAATTTCTTAATAGTTATATAATAAGAATATATGTATAAGATTAGTCCATAAATAGTTCTCAGAAGTTACCCATAATTTAATCTTCACTCGGATATAACATACAGAAAGATGATTTAATTGCAAATCAAATCAAATGTTTGGTCGGAGAATAAGTAATATGGTGATTTATCGGGACTAAGGCTGCTGAACGTGAAAAAAAAGCGACTGAAAATACAAATACAAAAATGATGGCTAGTTTAAATAGTTCACCTTTTTATTTCAGCGTCACCAATATTAGTTATAGCTCTCTTTGTAAAGTCAGAGCTATCCTGAAAAAT